AAATAAGAAACTCTTCTTGGCGCCTATTTTAGTATAAAATATACTTAAAGTAAGTGGGATATCCTCAAAACAAGAATACAATTTTTTCGGTGTATTAAAAAATACAAAAAATATATTTGTTACGAATATATATAAAGTAACATTAAGTTCATAAAATGTATTCTCTACTTATAGCTACAAAAGTCATAACATCATTTCGGAAAGCAAATATTACATGCGGTAAAAAGTTTTGAATTGAAATTGCACGACCAGTCAAAATGACTGGTCTGGTGAATCTGATGTTAAAAATATTAAATATTTCTGAAACAAATCTGAAAAACAATGTGTATATACTCTTTAAACTGTCTATTTTAAGACACCGTTATTAAATTTAGTGAAAAAAAAAGTTTTAATTGATAATTTTTAGCAAATATGACGCAACAAGAAAATTACTTTCTTCAGAAAGTAATTTTGCTCCAGACAAAAACGACCCGTTTCCGTTCGTTGAGAATTAGAATTGTTTCATTTCATTTCAGAAATTTAACTGTTTGTAAACTTGCGCCATGATATGCGTTTTATTTTAAGAATTTACCGCAGAGATGTGTAAACACACACACACACACAAACGTGCTGATGATGATACCTGTAAATTCGTCTTTGCAACCTTTACGTCATCGGTATTCTCAGTTTTGCCTTTGTTGACTGCCGACAAACAATCAGCTGTATTTCTGTTTGCGCTCGCTCGAGTTTCCGAATCGTCTGAAGTGATTAAAGCACATTTCCGAGTTATATCTCAGTGTTGCGCTGTTTGTTTGACAAGATACAGTTTATATACATACTGCCAGTAGTATCGTCTCCCACATTGTCTCGCCACTCTTGCAACACGTTATCGGCCACTTTCGTCCATCCTTCCAGACTGTTCTGCTCCGCTATCCTCGCCATTAATCCTGCATCGTCGTAAATTTTCACCTCGGATATCAGCGAGTTCTTATACAGCGGAGTATTATATATATAAATATATTTTTTTTTCGAAATATGCTTGCTCTTCTCTCACTCACTTTCCTCGGAACTGGCGACGACGATTCCCTTATCGCTACAATCCGTTACATCCGCGCCTGATTCCCCTCGGGAATCCTCACATTTATTTGCCGAACTCGTTTCGAAATGTTGAACGACTTCATCGAATTTGGGGGACGAATGATATCCTTCCCGATCGGGATATTCCGTTTCGCACCGAACTGATTGTTCGCTGCGAGGATCCTCTTGCCGTTCGCGAGCTACGAGTTGCGTTCCGACGTTTGTGATGATTTCCGGTGGATGTTTTGGTACCTTGGGAAATGGATCTTTTTTTTTTTTTTTTTATTACACGCGGAAACGGCATGTAATAACGGAATATCGGAGAACGCAGGATTTCTCTACCTACATTTGTTTCCTCGGTAAACGATTCCATATCAGACGAAATCGTGACGTTGGATTCCCGCGAATCCGGTGTGTGAAACGAGCTAGACGTGTCTGCAATATCAAGTGAGTATCAGACCGTGTATATATACATCAGCCTCTCTCTCTCTTTCTCTTTGTCTTTTTATTTCTCTTGAGTTATACAATATATCACCCTGACGTAAACTTTAGTTTAAAAATTTCAGAGATTTAGAATATTTTCCCTTTATTGAGAAATTTCACTCATACGCGGTTTCAAGGACCGTAATCGGTCGCGTATAATATGCGATAAATAGCGTTGCGATTAATTGTGTGAGCGGAGGAAGCACGCAGCGGATTGTACCGAAATCAGCTTACGCCGCAAATGTGTTTAAGTGAAAACTGTTAATTATTAAACTCGTGGGGGGGGGAGGGGGGAGAAGGAGCGAGGGAGGGGGAACGGTTCATACAAAAGTCAAACAGAAAGGATTATCGTGGCGAGTAATAAGCTCGCGATATAATTGAAAAGATACATGAACATGTAGGTCGTCGAGCTATATACGTATATATAGCTCGCACACACAGTTCGATGAAAGATAAATTTTCCTCATGAATAAATCATTTGGCGTGTGTTCCCCCCGGTATAACTATTATGTGTACCTACTATTAATTTAATGGATCTGATAATGAGGCTAGAGCAAAGTGGACGGATGAATGCACAATTTGTTTTGCATAATTGAATTATCCCCGTTACTAATCATTAATCATTAATTTCGAGTTTAATGCGAATTTTGCGATGTGTTTTTTTTGTGCAAATTATGACGTACTTTTTTAAATTACGGAAATTTCAAAGAAATTTCAGATAAGAGAATTGAAGAATTGTTTGAGAGAGAGAGAGAGAGAGACCGCGATACGCACAAAAACGAATCCACTCGGAGTAGATTCGGATAAATCTTTCTTCGCGTCGTGACGCGCATCATGACGAGGAAGAGTACCGCTCGTACCGCTTTCCTCGGCGCAGGGCGTTTTGAGTTGCCGCAGCAGATCCTCCGCCCGTTCGATCACCGTTTCCATCTCGCAGAGAAGCGGCGCCGCATTTGGAAATCGTCGCGTAATCGTGTCCCAAATGACATCGGCATCCTCGACACCGTGCAGCGATCGCGGTGGTTCCAGTCTGACCTGTATCGCCGTGTCGGTGAACGATGCGCTTCCGCCGGACATTCGAGGAGCCCTTCTTTACGTTGGCACCTGCGTTGAGCCCGCGACGTGATGAATATTTCATCGAGATCACGGCACCGATAAATATGTCGGGAGTGTGTTGTGTGTGTGTTGTGTGTTACACACGGGGCAAGAGAACGCGGTTTTACATTCTTCGCCCTACGGAAAATTGACGGGTGGGAAACGTCAGGGTGAGGGGGGAGACAAACAACGTAGGAACGCGTTGTCATCGAGCGGCGCTACGATGTCATCGCGACGAAATATGCCGCATCTCGTTCGGCGTGAATTTATATCGCGTTGCGCGAACAGAAGCGAAGCGAATACACTTTTTTTTTTTTTTTTTATTGTTGATCAAAGAGATGTAGAGAGTGAAAAAAAGAAAAAACGTTTTATTTTAAAGTCGGAGCTTTTCTGTGTTTTATATGTATACAGAAAATTAATTTTTTATTTATGAAATAATTATTTCTTTAAATATTTTATGTATGATAAGTGTAAAGAGAATTGTTAAATGTGACATTTCTAATTTTGCAAAAAACGTGTGTTGAACTTTTAATTGAAATAACTTTGTATGAGAAAATTCCGACGCACGCAGAAAATACTTGATTGGACGAAAATAAAAATTATTACGAGATTTTTGTTATTTCAAATATTTTTATATAATAATCATATTTTTTTTCTGACATACGTAAATATGTAACACACATATTTTCTTCAAGGTATGTTAACATGTGGGAGATTAATTTTACTTGCAAATAATAAATTTAATAAATATTTTGCGTGTGTGTTATGAGAGAAGGGTGTTAGTGAAATTAAAATTAACAAAATATATATAATTTTAAATAAAATTCCAACAACAATTTTTTTTTGGTTACAGTCGCTGTTCGCATCCAGATAAAACATATAGAATCTCTTTCTAGGAAATAAAAAAAAAAAAAAACGGATAAAAAAATCAATGAACGCACACGTTCGACGGTTGATCTGCTGGATTTTTTTTTTTTTTTTTTTTTTTTTTTTTTAACGCGATGGTATTTTATTAAAATTATAAACACGGGATTACAATACATCGTGTAACGCGTAATACTTGCTTAGAAACGTCGTTGAATCAAGGCCTCTTTGATTCAAAACTCTTTACCATTCACTTTTTTTTTGTTTTTTTCTTTTTAGCTACGTGTGTGTGCGAGCCAGTTTGTGCTACGGCATTGTTTTTCGTGTACGTTTTCTTACATACATGCATATTAGTATATTTATTTTATTTTATTTTTTTTTTCGTAATCGTAGGACGCATTCTCCCGATTGAGCGCTACATGGAGTCGTAACTCACGATGTCGCATGGTACAAATAAGTTCGTTTTAACGACTTTGCACACTCCGCGAATTCGAATTGTTTTTTCTTTTCCCGTCTTCGGGAAAGAAAATTTTAGCCTCGGCGCGCTCTGATTCGTCTCGCTCTCGCGCTTACACGAAACAACTTTTACCGCGCGTTTCCAAAAGCCGGGTCACATCGACATTTCATGCTGAGAAAGATACTCCGGTAAGATAAATCCTCCGTGAATAGAAACGGTCTCCCCCATATGCGTCCCACGATGTTTATTACGTTGGTTTCGCGTCGACGAAGGACTTTACGTGTTCATTTATTTATAGACAGATTTATCGTGAGAGCTCTGCAAAAGGATCACCGCGCGCGCGCGCGCGCTCGACTCGAGGATGATAAAAAATTTCACGAGAAACATTCTTTTTCGACGGAGTGTTTTTCCATACAAAAAGGTGGAGAAACGGGGAGAGAACTTTAGTGTTTTTTTTTTTTTTTTTTCGAAAGGGCCGAAACCTCTCTGCCTCCGTCTCTCTCGTTCGTAGAGAATGATTGCTACCACAGTTCAAGTTCAGTCTCGCTAGATAGTGATAGAGATGCGGTGTGACGCGCTTAAATTAACTTCCAACTTTCGATATGTTAGAGTAAATTTTAACATGTCTTTTTTATATAATATTGCAATCGCGCGGTTAACACATCGAGGAGCTTGGCATGTGTGTGTGTACACATGTGTATGTATGTGTGACTTGTGTGTGTGTGTGTGACTGCGCGCGCGCACCATTCGTCGCTTCTGATGCACGCTATACGTTTTATATTCGCTAGCGGGTACATTACTCGCATCGGATTCCATGTTTTATAGCGTATAGAACATGTCATATGCTCGGACAGTTTTTCCGTATTCCGGGTAGAAAGAGACTTATAAAACTTTATGAATAAATAATAACTGCGGCAGTATATTCGTAGGGTAAGGACGATGTCCTTTAGGTGGTGAATTATTCACAGAGCAATTCATGAGACTGGCGAAAGATATCTTAACGCGACCACGACACTCTACCCGCAGAAATGTTTAAACTTTGACATACGAGGGGGTCACGCAAATTTATATATATATATATATGTATATAAGTATATATATAAAAGTTTTGCAAAAATAACAGAAGAATTCCACCCCACGTCGCGCGCGAGAATCGCAATAAATTCCATAATTCCGCGATCGTTTGTACACACGTGCAAAATAGTGCGACACGCAAATGAGGCAGTGATATATTTGAATTTTTCAAACACACGCGCGAGAACAATTTCATAGAGATACGATATCGAGTCCAATTCTTTTTTTTTTTTTTTCTCAAACATTTTCTCTCCGCGTTTCTAAAAGTATCCAAAAAAACTTCACCGTGCTTCGATTATCATCGTGCAAGCCGAACTTGTTTTTTTTTTCTATTTTTTTTTTTTGGCTTCATTGATTCATTCCGACCCGATACGTTATCCGGTTTGTTACAAAATCTGCGCATCGCCGGACCTTCTTCCTTCAAATACTCTCTCCCTGGTTTAAGCGATACACGTTACATTCAAAGTGTCACGAGAGTGAACGCAATCTCGAGTTTGGACCGCGTTGCGTATTTTCTTTTCTTTTTTTCGACGTTTTGACCGCGTTAAGATACCGACATCGTCAAAGGAAAGACGTTGGCGTTGACAGGGACGCGTCCTGATCTCCACATTGATCTCTCGGTGATGTGACTTCGAGGTTACGCGAGTTTACGACGCCAACCTTTGGGTTGGCTCACGCGAGAGAGAGAGAGAGATTTACTTCCGATTGTTGATACGCTTACTTCTATCACAGCATACAGACGTACGTTAGACGCGCGCTTTACCCCACACGGCATATACAGTGTCTATAACAGGCTAACGCGCGGAGATCGCGTTCATGGCGTTTGCTCAACACACACTCGCGTAACAGGATTACACGCTCCTTTGGCATCCGATTAGTTACACATGGGCTAACCCTACGTCTCATTCGAGTCACGCGCATCGATACCGAAACTAGATTACACGGCAGGGAATTATCTACGCACGTAGCACGTGTTGTCTTCCATAAATCATTCGACGGAGAGTTCAAGAAGAGAACGCGTTTTCATCGCCTCCCCACCCCCCGAATTAATCGCCGAAATTCTAGACAGTCGATAAAATAAAAAATGATAGTAATCTCTGATTGTGGCGGTGACCGCAAAATTTGAAGTAACACAACCGCGAGAGTTAACGCGAGACAAGCTCGCCGGCTTGAGCGTCCGTAAGCCGGTGATGTGATCTGAACGCGAGATGGGAAGATTAAACCAGGACAGGGGTGTGTCGAAGCGCGATCCCGCGCAACCGGTCGCCGTGGACAGATTGTTATCCGCCGCGGTCAGTAAGACGCTGCGGCATTACACCTCGATCGCGGATAACTCCCTCCCGTTGATTTCTCCCGTGAATCTCGCAGGAACGAAAAAAAAAGCACAGCTGAGTGAGTATCGACGGGCGTGAATCGCGCAACGCGCAATCGGAGGAGTTGCGAATGCAACTCCAGCTTTTACTCAGAACCCCCGAACACAGCCTCTGGCTTCACGCGTGTATATCATTTTCGTGCGCGCGCGCGCGCTCGTTATCGCAACTTCTCCACATTCTCCGAATATCTCTTCTCGCCGATCGCATCTCTCGTCATTCACACACATGAGCTATCCGAAACGTTCCTCCCGCGCTCTATATAGACGCTCCTTCCTTACTCCCTTTCGCTACCTTCTTGTTTTTCTTCTTCGATCACACATTACCTTCGTCGTCGCACCTCTCGCGTTTACGACGACGTTTCGCTCGACAACCGACGCAGAAAGTGCACTCAACGGAAACAGCGTAAACCTACGTCTCTTAGAAAGCATTGTGTTATGCGTAAACGCCAATTTCGCCGCTCTTTGTCCACTCGCGCGTATTCTCTTTGTTTATTTTCTTCTTCCTCTTCTTCTTCTTTATCTTTTTTTTTATACTCCTAAGTCGTGTGTAATCTAAACCCTACCATGATACTGCGGTGTTTATCGTAAATGCCACATACACGAGCGCACGAGGGGTACGGGGGGGGGGGGAATATATTACGTGCCCCGCGGAGGATCTTTTCGTACGGGGGTATCCCGTCTTCGCGCGCGCGCGCGACGGGTATATTACTCTCTGTCTCTTGGATTTAACGAACCGAGTCGCGATTCGCTCGAGTATCCGAAACAAATCGATCGTCATGAGTCGATTAGAGGGGAAACGAGATTTGGTTGCATGATCGGGCACATCTCGTGCGCTCGTTTCTATGTGATTCTCGATATACATATTCTACGGGATTTCGTACGATTACTTGCGAGAGTATGTATATGTGTACGTGTGTGTGTACGTGTACGTGTACGTGTGTGTATGTATACACGTGTGCATGTGTCCTGGGATGGGAGTGTCTGGCTGCCGTACACTCCGGTCCGTTACTCAGAGGAGATGGTTGGGAAACAGTTAGGAGAGGGGGGTGAGAGGGCGGGTTTGGGGCCAGAGCGAGGTAGGCATTTAAAAATCATGACTATTCACACGGTGGTCTCGATATTGGCAATGGCGTATTGTCAACAAATACTGTCCTTTCCGTAATTCTCCAGGTACATCTCCTGGGGCGTGGCCAGATTGTAGCGTCCGCTCAGCCGGCTGCCGGTCAAACCGTTATTGTGATGGGTGTGATTCACGTGGAGATGATTGACGTTCAGTGCGACGTTCTTCTTTTTCTTGCGCGCCTTGTGCCGGTACAGGCAGTACTTGAGGCAGCCGGTGGTAAGCAATAGGATCAGAAACAAACCAAGGGCGCCGGCGCCCACCGCGACGTACAACAGCGTCACGCCGAAGCGATAGGAGCAGTTGGCCTCTTCCTCGTCGAAACCCGAGGGACAGTGGCGCAAACCGTCGCACCAAAGAACCGCGCTGATGCACGCCTGAATCTCCGGACATCTGAGAGAAAACCAAAGTTTTCGTATTTTTGAAAACACGCTTTTGAATGAAATTTAACGCGTACTTAAATCTCATTGCGTGAGATTACACAAACCTGTACGGGCAATCCTCAGCCGGTAATATGGCGAACGCGTTGGCGTAGTTGCTCGGCGAACGTTTGGAGATCGCGAGCCACGTGACGGCGTAGAAACCGGGTTCCCTCTGCAGAAATTCCACGACAAAGCTGCGCGCGTGCTGCGCCATCGCCACGCTCGCGTTCACCGCGCTGTAATTCCAACCGCCGGAGAAGAAGTCGACGGTTCTGGTCGTGTCGACGCCACCCTCCGGACAGATCACGCTTCGCTCCTTTGTGTTCGCGGCCGAGTACACGATGATGCGATTCAGAGTGGTGCAGTCCTCGACGTTGTCCAAGGTGATGCTGTAGCCGGCGGTTCTCAAGTACAGGAAGTTGGTGCGCGCGTCCTCGGGCTCGATCATCCACGGCACGTTCACGCACTGCGTCGCCGTGAGATCCTCCGTGTTCGCCAGGGTCTCTTCTACAGCGATCACGCCGGGTATCGTCCGCGGCAAGGGACTTCTGAGAGAGATCTCGCCGCTTGTGCCGCGCAACCGTCTCTCCTCGAGTCTCGACGAGCACCCGTGCTCGTTCGACTCCGCGCCCACCGGCACGAAACGGTATTCGCCCTCGAAGAAGAAGTCCCGATAATCCTGGGTGACGTTCATGAGCGTGACGGCGAATCTGACCTCCACCACATTCGACGTCAGAGTCCGCACGGTCAACTTCTCGGTCACGTTCGCGCACAGGCAATCGCGAATCTGGAAACATATTTTAAAAAATACAAATTTGATCCGATTGATTTAAATAAAACAATATATCGCAGCAGAGAAAAGAGTGTCATTTTATCACACGTACGAGTTCTACTCCTTGCCAGGGGTATTCGGCGACAACTAGATCCGCCACGCCGGATTTCTTGACGTCCGCCATGCGGCGGTCGCACGTCCATCGGTTCACGAGCGGGTCCACGTAAGACGCACAGTTCTTGCCGCCGAAAGAGGCCTTGACAATGGTCAGTTCTATCTTGTGATCGGGCTCGGCCTCGAATCGATAAACGCAGCTGAGATTCTGCGACCCGCCGCGACCGTAGAAGAACACGCTCTTAGGCGAGGCAAATTTGCCGGCGTTGGACGACATGGACGAGGACGATGAGGACGACGACATCGGCGACGTGGAAGACGTGGATGACGCCGACGACGCCGTGGTGAACACGTGGTTACACGAAATGGCCTCGTGCACGAACTCGTAACGCAGCACGAAACTGATCGGATAAAGCGCGCTACCCTGACGCAATACGTGCTCCAGGGTGAGATCGCGACCGGTTGACACGTAACTCTCGGCTAGGCTGCAAGGCCGCGTGTGGCGGCTGCTGTTGCGCAACAAACTGTGGTCGCAGAGTCGCGGTATGTCGTCCTTGCAAAACTGTCCCATCAGTGTAACGTTCTGCAAACAGTTATTATTGCGCGGGTTTGCTTTCAGAGTATGGAATGTCGAGCGTTTTCAATATAATTAAGCAACACGCGGCATTCCTCGCATTGTACGTACAACTTATATAAAACATCTCTTCAAACAATATTCGCAACACATAATATATGGATTTTAACGTTTTAAAGCAAAAGTTATGATGATATTAATTGAATGAAATATGATAAATAGTTCACAAGGATTACACTTTTGCACAACGTGTACACATTCGCAAAAGTAAGATATATATCGTTTTAATATTTCTTTTTTAACGCAAATTTCAAAGAAGATGCGATCGATACGTACTTTACGACTGGCGGTGAGCTTGTCTACCGTGATATCGCCGTCCCATATTAGAAGCTTCGCGTTGCAATCAGAGGCAGTGTCAATACTCGCGGCAGCTTCCACAGTGGCGGCGTAATATTTAACGAACGACAACCAAACAATCTCATTGAGCTTTCCTTGGAAGTGATAACGGCAGGTGGTGTTCGGCGGTAAGGAGTGTTTAGGATTTTCCAAAATGCCCGACGAATTTTCGTCACCGGATATATAAAAATCGCAGTTGTCGTTTTCCTTTACGAAGCTCCGAGATTTCTCGTCGACAAAAATCACCTGCACATCCACGCGAAAATGCGTAACATATAAAAAAAATTTCTCAATAATGACACATACGTATATTATATATGTATATTTTTTTATACTATATATATATATATATTTATATTTATATTTATATATATTTACTATATATATATTATATATTTATGTATATTTATATATTTATCAATAAGAAGTTTTTTTCGCAATATAAATTTAATTTCAATTAGGGGGTATTTGGGATTTCTCATATATGAGATGCAAGTATAGCATCCTATATGAATTTTAGAATTGTTATTACAATTCGAATTTCACGTGTAAAAATTTACACGTGAACACGTATATATGTATATATATACACGTATAATTTACGCACAACACCTAGCGAACGGTTCTCATGACCCGAATATATATATATTTATTATATATTTATATATTTATATATTTATACTATATATATATTTATTTATTTTCATTTTATATATTTTTCATATTTTATTTTATATATTGTTATCTATAGTTGTAAATAATTTTTTATTTTTATAGTGTAAATAATTTTTTATTTTTTAGGTTTTATTTTTTTTCAATTTTACGTGGTGATTTGTATATAAATAAAATGTATCCGGTACCTGAACTTCGAGCTCAAATCCTGGAAGGAAAGATAATGGAACTGGATGAAACGGATTGTCGTACGGAGATGTATGAAACTCCAGCAACATCGTATTGTGACTGCTGACGATGTCTGGCACCGCATCTCCTCCACACAGTCTTACAAGCACTCGGTCTGAGGTTGAACCTCCGTCATAAACCGTCAAGTAATCTTGCACGACGTTGCACTGATCCCACACCCTTGAAAAGCACGCGAATTTTACTTGGAGATTTACTCTCCGAGTTATCTACATTTTTTTCTCGCTCGCGTTTATTTTTCTCTTCTCTCTCTCTGTGTGTGTGTGTGTGTGTGTGTGTGTTGTTTTTCTTTCATTTCTAGATTTTTCTCTTATATTACACGAGAGAAATACGCGCGGAGATGATTTCGCGCGAAATTATTAACAGTTTTTTTTTTTTTTTTTTTTTTATTAACTTCTGTGTGTGTTGACTCTTTGAGAAATGCAACAATTTTTTGTGTGTGTTTTAATTAAGTATCGTCAATTTCTACCTCAACACTCGCTGACTCCTGTCGTACTTGACGACCTGGTCCTTGATGTGTATCTTGTGACTGTTCCGTTGACTAACGGCAAGCAGAGCACGATGACCTAGTGGCGCGCGGTTTTGCTCCACCCGATAGTAGCAAGTGACATTCCTGGGGTAAACTCCGGGATAATTCGGCGACTGCAGCCGGCAAGCTCTGGTATCGCATTTGGTGAGAACGCGATCGCAATACGTGCCGTTCACCAGCTCGCCGCGCCATGTGGACATACTGCTGTTCCCGTATCTGAGATGAGCCTCGCTTCTTCTCAGGAACTTGTACGACAGTTTGAAGTCGAAGTTGTAGCCAATACCCTGAGACAGAAAAATTTCGCGAAATTGTGTCGCGGTCCGTAACACGATCGTAACGTTTCTTTTTATGTCTCGTTGGACGTTTTCGAGAAAAAAAAACAAACACACGAGGAAAAAAGAACTTTCGAAGAAATAACTCCACTTTGGCAATTTATTAAACGTCTCTCTCACGTTTTGAGACAGACACATCTTTTTTTTTTTATCAACAATTCGTAGTTCGATAGCTTTATTATTTATAAAGGATCGGGACGTTAATGATAGCTCTTCGGGAGAAAAAAGAAGAGCGCGTTAAGTGGGTTGTTGTGTCAGCCGTAACACAACCCAGACAACTTTCATTAAAAGTGTAAACGTGCTCGTTTCACGTTGTCGCAGAGCGAAATTGCGGAGGGGAAAAAAAAAAGTCAGAACGCACACACATTGCCCCTTCCCCCGGGGCTATGTCGCGGCCAATGTCTTACCTGCTCTGATAAACGTAGTAAATATAAAGTCAGATTGATGGAAGGAGTTTCGCTGTAATAAACGGTATAGCCCCATGCGCTGCCGCACCATTGTCCTCCCGTTGCGGGACGACCTTCCTCGCGAATAGTCATGAAACCATCTGGACATCCTTCCGACGTGAAGGATTGAAAGCGGCCGACCGTGAAGGTATCAAAAGTTAACTGTAACACCGGGGGGAGCGTTATATTCTAAAAGTTATGAGGCCGGCGAATATCCGCGCGCGCAAAAACCGACAGTGGCGCCAGGCCACTGTCGGTTTTTGTGTGTTGGAAATAAAACTAAAGATAAAAAGTTGGAGCGCGCAGTTATCACCAACTTTTCGCAATAAAAGCGAATATTTCTATTATAATCCCCGTTAATTATCCTTACAGCATTACGCTTTGGTTTCGTAATAACGTCCGTAATAGAGCGAGAAATATGTGCATATGAAACAGGAGGATCCATCCGAGCAAGCAGTTTATATGGAAAAGACAGTTTTATATGAAAAAGAAAGATCGTATTATTACGTGTGCAATATTCCAAAAAAAAAATCGAAAAATTATCTTTCACCCTCTCTTATAAAAGTTTTCATAATAGATAGAAAAGTTTTACGTATACATTCCGTGTTATTCTCGTGCAACGTAAAATTAGTTGAACAAACTTTTTGGCTTCTCGATAATAAATGTTATTATATTATTTTAATTGTTTTGACTGTGAAAGTATCTATTGTTTTTTTTTTTTTTTATCATTATTATGGCGTAAAAAAATCTGCTTCGTATTTTCAATCGCGAGTATTATATATCGCTAACAAAACAGGAGTTCAGTAATGATTTCAAAAAGAGAGATATATATATATATATATATAATAAAATCGATACATCAATAACAACCGGAGGTCGGAAGTAGGACTTTCTGACAGAAACTGTATAGCTCTCGGATCCGACCGAGGATCCGACGAGTAAGCATATTCCATGATGGCGGCGGGACGAGGTGTTTACTCAGCGCGGGAGCTGATTTAATTTCGCCAATAAACGCGATAAGAATCGTGAAAGCCCGGGAAGATATAAATTATTATCCCGGCGCGACGCGGGTCGCACAGCCCGCTGTCTGCTCCGTGACAGCTGCTCCCGCGCTGGGTCGGGCGCACCAAGTCAGCATTATTTTCTACAACTACATCACTTCTATGTCCAACCTGAACTAGATCCCCAAGATCGGCCCCGGCGGCAGTGAAGTTGAGGTGACACAGGAATGGCAGTCGATCCTCCCTCGGCCGGCGTATCTCCACCCGGTAGGTCCGACCGACGTCACCGTACAACGTCCGATTGCAAGCTGGAATGTTTTTATCGTGCGACAATCGCGCGAGCGGGGGGAAAAAAAAAAAAAATTAACTGCGCGGCAGGTAATATTGTACACACATTTGTTTTGTGTTGAAACGCGACGTGACAAAATAACATCCGAAAGGGAGTTGTTTTATTCATGCCCGGGATATATGTTCAGAGAACACATCAAAGCGATCCGATTTCAAACTGAAATGCTTCGTGTTTTACAAGTAAAAATTATGTATCTGAAATATACTATAATATTCTGTTATATTTTTAATTGAATTTTGTAATAAAATAAAATTGTTTTTATTCGAAACCAAAATGTGTATTAAACTTTTAATCACTCTATTGCGTTTTTTCGTAAAAAAAAAAAAAAGAGAGTAGATTCGGTCGAAAGATTATTGAAATATTTTTTACTGCGCAATTACTGCAATCGAAAAATAAATCTCGAGTGTGTAAATACCTCTTTCGGATTGTGCAACGCGATAAATAGATATCAGTGTTTTTTTAATACAATTAAGATTATTATTAAGATATTATTTTTTAAATATTTGCAACATATTATAGTACCAATTGCGCGTGATGTAATTTGTAATAAGTTTAATATTGACAAACGTTTTAGCTTTCATGAGTTTTACATATCGCATTTCGTCAGATTTGCAATATATCTATTGTTCTCCGTCTACATATGTTTGGTGTGTTTTTCAGTATTGAAAGAAAACAAAACACACACGCGTGTCGCGTGTATTTGCGCGCAAATAATTATTCCATATAAATTATCTCATTTAGGCTTGCGAACAAATTTTAATGTGTGCGATTGAAAATCATGTAAAGAAACGGAACGAATATATATATATATACGTTGCAATGTTGTAATTCGATCCGCGAAATGTGTCGCGTACATTATCGAAAATTAAAAATTCAAACGGAGGAAAATATCATATATAGATATTTGTATACGACGTAATTATATTTGAACTGTGCGCGCAAATGTCGATGTAATTTTATATATACAATAAATAACACAATTATTAATTATACCGATGACGAATCATTTGAATTATGGCTCGTTTTTATATAAAAAAATTTATTTAGTCACTTCACGTCATACGTCATGATATAAATCACGCACGCGAGCTAATATAGGTACGTATATATATATGTGTGTGTATTTATAAATGAGTTTTATAAATTGACAAAATATATATAGTTAAGGTTTTTACATGAATTAAGCTAAAATGATAATATAGCTAAATAATTACTGGCACGAAAACATTATTATTCGCTCGGATGAGCGAAAACTTTGCGTCCCATGGCTTACAATATAAAGCCAACAATTCGTACTATTGCGAATATACGAGGTAAACACGCGGTCACGCTTTAACTCAACATTTCCAATTATTTTTCCGCTACTTTTCATACGTGTGGTTTTCAAAGATAAACACACACACACGCGCGCGCGCGCGCGCGTATATTTTGCGCGTTTTATGGTAACGAGTTTGTCTACTGTGAATATATATATTCAACTATAATTCAGTTAATAATAATTGATTGTGTTTGACGCAAAATTTGCACAAAGCTTTTTCGATTAAGCGCGAGAGAGAGAACATTGATTTTTTTTGTTCGCAAAATTTCTCATAAATTTCTCCGGCACACAACGCCGCCATTCCGCAATAAATTCAAACTTAATCAGAGAAATCGTGGCGGAAAGCGCGTAATCCTTTCGGGAACTGATTAGCCGGATAAAGTCATTCATTATTTTCCGAATTAAACGGCCCATAACAAAGGACCGTCTTTTCACACAGATGAAACGGAGAAAGGATCTCGATTCACACAACTCTCCTTCGGTTTTTTGCTTTGTTCGAACGTTCGTTTCGGAGAAGGGAGAGATACTCACGAGTACAATATCTCGGCTCGTCGGACTTGTCGTCGCAGTCATTCTCGCCGTCGCAGTACTTGTCCTGAGCGACGCAATGTCCGGTGGTGCCGCATTGGAACTCGGACGGTCGACAGAGCGGTTCGCCGCGGTTGACGGCGGGTTCAGATGTCGGGCCGGATGTCGAGGATGAGCTCGACGCTGACGACGACGACGACGACGACGACGACGACGACGACGACGACGATAGGGACGAGGACTCGGGTGACGTCGCGCCGGAGTAGACCGCGTATCCGCTCGGGTATCCGGAGTAGTCCGACGACGAGATACCGGGGTGGTAACTAGCCGAGCCAGCCTCGATCGAGGCTGTGATCGCGGCTGCGATCAGCAGCAACCGCCGACACACCAACATGCCCCCTCACCCTGAAACAAAGATTCAACAAAGTGGATCGCGCAAATGAAAAGTAAGATTTTCTCGCGATTTTTTTCTCAATACTTTGAATTTCTTTTTATTATAATACACAACTCAACTTTTTAACTTTTTTTAAAAAAATTATTATACGGTCTAAATGAAAATTGTGTGTTGAGAATAGAGCTGAGATATTGATTTTGCGCGAGAATTGACCGCAACCGTTCGTGTCCCAAAGTGTGAAATTAAATATTGACATCGAAAATCGAACTTTGTTCTGTCGCGAATTAAAGTTGTCTAAAGTGTGATAAATAATCATCCCGGAATAGAATGGAATATCAGTGGGAACAGAATAATACACGGGATCAATTTATAATACATCTCGATAACTTCATGTAATATTGGTTTGTACCAGATATCTAGCGGGAGCTTTCGATAGTAGTAGTACTATATACAGTTCGCTAAGTTCTTATCTATACGAAGTCCCGTAGACATTGGTCCTGAGGGCTCTACAAATTGTCAATAAATGGCAGAAACTCTCTCTCTCTCTCTCTCTCTCTCTCTCTCTCTCTCTCTCTCTCTCTCTGTCTCTCTCTTCTTCAAGTTGTATCGAGAGGGAGAAAGTTTCTTGTGTTTAGTCTTCATTGAAGGGGCAAAAATAAGCTGCGCATAAGAGAGAAATAATAGATTTTTGGTCTTTCAGGATTTGTTGCCTTGGTTACTTCTTCCCATTACAAAGGAGGCAAGAAGAAGTAGTAGAAGTAGAAGTAGAAGTAGAAGTAGAAGAAGAAGAAGAAGAAGAAGCGATTCAAGATCTTGAAGAGGTAAATTGATATTGCGTAAAGACTCGGGAAAAGTCTTGGCGAGAGAAAGACTTCGGATATATTCATTGGTTGGAGAATAGCCTTAAAAAGAACTGAATAAATAGCCGTAATATTTCACGGCTTGCAGATGTTGCTTCAGCCTGTTCTTCGCAACGCTTTTTAGCGACGGCTCTTTTACGCAAAGCCTTTCCTCTCTCCTTCTCGCGCGTTACATTTTTCTTTCACCCGTTGCGTTTCGCCCTCCTCTTTTCATAGTTGTTTCAACCCCCTCCCCCCCCCGCCGTACAATTTGCGCGAAATAATTACCCTGACCTCAACCTCGGCGCGCGACGTTCTTCATCATTATAATTCTTAAATATTATTTTAGCTACACACAGTTTACTCACTTTTTTAATCTCTTTATCACACAAGATTAAACATTTTCACACAACTATGTTTTACGAGATATTCGCTGCGCGCGCGCGCGCGCGCGTGTGTCTTCTCGCGGAGATATATATTTCACAGTTTTATGCGTGAAAAACACATCCGATTCTTTTCTCCCCGGGGATTTTCTCCCTTCCCGATTTCCTATGCGCTCGGCTCGACGATCAACGAGTCGAGTACGATTGCATGAGAATAAAACGTTCCACGCTTTACCTCGACCCGTTCTTTCTTTGTGTCACAGAGGATGTTGGCGCGGGACGTGCATCATCAACAACATTGGGCTCGCTCAATATAAAACCTTCTCTTTTTCTTTACGGTGCTACATCTCTCTTACAACTGGACCCTTCACTTTTCACGACGCTCTCTCTCTCTCTCTCTCTCTCTCTCTCTCTCTCTCTTTCTCTCTTTATTTCGCTCGGGCATTTCCATTCGCGAAGTCACGTCCCATCGCTCAGATATAATTTGATGCGATTTGTTACGACGAGACACTTAAACGAATGCGTTCTCTTTTACGTGTTACGAGCGCGTGCGCGCGGACGTCTTAATAAGACGCGGTAGACGCGAGAGATAAGCGTGCAATGTTGGCGGAAGATAGATAACAATAAAGATAATTAAGCTTCGACATTGCCAAAGAGCGCGTGTGTTTGCTCTCTGCGTGTGTGTGTGTGTGTGTGTGTGTGTTGCGCGGTCTTTGATTAGAACGTGAGCAAATTCCATTTCGCCTCGACGTACGTTTGCCGTCCGACGCGCGCGCGGAGTTTCCCAAAATGGAAAATGAATAAACCGACCTTAACTCGTTAAGACACCAAATATAATTCTCCGATTGGAGATTCTCGGTCGGGTTTGGAGAGTGTTTAGAGAGGAGCGGATTATGCTAATTCTATTCAGAAAACCAACTCCCCTCGCCGCGTGAATGGACTCTCTCTCTCCCTTGCTCGCTACAGTTATCCTCTGAACAAATACCGCGGATCTATTAATTCGCACGACATCCTCGCTCGCGCGCGCGCGCGCGCACAAGGATCGATACACAGGCCGCGCGAACAAATGCTCTCGCAACGAAGTTCACCGAAGCTCGCCACGTCTTTCTTATCCGCCTGAAAACTTGATAAGCGCCGATGTACGCGCTTATAGAAAGCAAATGCGACACAACGCCGCATGGCACAATGTCCTATGTGTGTGTGTTATCTCCGGGTTTATTCTTCTTTTTCTTCTTGATCCCGCGCGTGTTACATTGTACAATACAACGCGAGACTCTATATACGCCGCGGAATATCCATCGACTTTCGTCGCGAATAATATCCGTGGTAATGTAACGTCGCCGCGTCGTGTGGTTGTCACAACGCTAACGAGCGACACAACGCGCGACGACACGCGAGAAAGAGTTCTTTTACTTCGCGCGCCAAGTAAAAATCTGATTTTTGTTCCCGGACGCGACAAAGTAAAAAGAAACTCGCGGACGTTGAGCGACTACCGGTCGGGAGTACCGAAGACAAATCGAGGATGCGGGGACGGTTGTCGGAGGATGAGTCACGCGGGGGATGGAATCTGCAATAAAAGATAACCGGATTCAAGTGCGGAGACCGCGCGTAGCACGCGCGCGAGACAGTAAAGGCTCTGTTTATTAAGTAGAAAGAGAGAGAGAGATAGAGAGAATCTGGGCCAAACCCACGAGAACATGTAGCGCAAGAAGCAGCGGAATATGGTAATTTGCCTGACAACGACGAGCTTTCTCCGTGTGTGTGTATTGTGTGTGCGCACTGGTATGTGTAAGTGCCGCCTCACTTAGCAAATATACACGCGCCATACGAGTGTCATCGAAATTGCGCGCGCGCGCGAAGCTTATACGCCAGCGACGCGCGGTCGCTACATGCGGAAAAACATTTTTGCCGATTTTGTCGATCGTGTTACTTCAAATTTACGTAGTCACGTAGCAGCTCGCGCGGAATATCGCAAAAGTGTTTCGCGTGCGCAACAAATATTAAAAGATATACATCAAGTAGAAATGCCGCGTTTCGAACGCGCCGTTTCGAATAGCGCGCGCGCGTGCCGGATGCGAGGAGCGTACTTTATGCGCGCGCGTGTATGTGCGGCGCGCATAAAGAAATAAATGAAAACTTGTTATGTAAAAAAACAAAAAATTTTACGCGTATACCGAAGAGAGACAAACTGGAAGAAAAAAAAAAAAAAAAAACTATTTTTCTTTGAAACGTATTTTTGTTTAAAGAGAGAAAAATATTTCCTTTTTTTTTTTTCTTTTCACGCGAAAGGACATGACGTAGAAAACGTTATAACGTAGCATTACGTTTATTCCGTGTCTGTCTTTCTTTCCGTCTCTGTTTCATAAACAACACGTGTAACATTTATAAGCTTTTACGAAAAGCGAGTAAATGAGAGTTAAGCCAATTTAATTCAAACCGTTTGAAATTACATACATTGCGCTCACGTTGCAGCAATCGCCATCGTACTTGTTTAAACGCTCGCTCGGGAGAGAATTTTTTATGAGAGCGCGGGGGGAAGGGGGGGGAGAGATCTCGTTTATAGACCGCCTCCCCCTCCGATTACCGTGACGTCCGCTGGTAGGACCCGCTGCTGCGCTCTGCGGCGCTCTTAAAAATCGGTTCTGACCCTTATCCCCCCGCGATAGGCACTGAAAAAGTGGTCTTCCGCCAATCTGGCATGGCGAAGTAGAGGGAAGACCCCCGTGTTAAATTGCCCGTGCCGGCCTGGGAAATTGGGTCGGTGCACGAGAAAATCGACTGCAGATTGAGACAGAGAGACGCGGAGAGAGAAAGATAGAAAAGAGAAGAGAGTCTCCCAACATGGAGGATCGAGACGGAGGAGCCACCACCGATGCGAAATTGGAGCTGGAAATCGTGGCGCAAGAAGCCGAGAGAAGGGGTGGAAAAGACGAAGAAGAGAACAGGATCAGTTGGGAGAGAAAGACAGAGAGAGAGAGAGAGAGAGATAATAAGAGAGAAAGAGCCGAGAGAAACTTGAGAGTCGATCGAACGATAAGGAGCGAGATGCCAGAGATCGCCGATTTTCGCGAGATCGTTCGAATTTTCGTCCATCAAACTGACTGCGACTCGATGGTTGGCTTCTCCCTACGGTCGTTACGCTCGGTGTTTAAAGTCGAAGAAATTGGCGCGGTTCGAAGACGAGCGATTTCGACGTAACGGCCAAGCAACGACGACGGGAGGGCGCGCAGAGAGAAAGAGAGAGAGAGAGAGAGAGAGTCCTCACGCTCCGATTCCGACTTTATTCCCCCGCCGTTAGCGAACCGCGCGCTTGCATCTATTCAATAACGACCTCGCGTAATTTGAGTTTTCGCCCAAGCGTGCACATTACGACTCTTCTCGTTGCTGCGCGAGCGCGGCGAGCGCGCGCGCTTCTTCTTCTTCTTCGTCCCGCTTCGGATTTTACTCACGCTCCGGATCTTCCGTGCGATGCCAAGGCAGTTGCTCTCGTACGAGGAATAAATGCATAATAAATGCCGCGGTGTGTATAGAACCGAGCGAGATTAACTGTCTATTGCTGAGGAAGATACTG